CACAGTCTTATTTAACATGGTCACAAACGAAACACTCACACGGGATGATAATGTGCCTTAACTTTGTTACAATAGGGCAAACTACATGCGCATGAGAGAGGTCCTACTACATGCCCCATGGCCACGGGAGTGGTGGAGGCTGACAGTAGACGATCACTGGCAAACAGTCAGAGATGTCATCCAAAACGCTATCGTAGACAGTGTACCTCGGTCACACCTCACACCTGGGAATAGAAGAACTTGGGTTAGGGGCGGCACTGAACGCTTGCTACAGGCGAAGAGGAGAGCTTTGAAGGATTCTGATAGCAGTTCTTACTTGGCATTGAGAAACAGATACAATACCAAAGTTTGAAGTGATAGAACACAATTTCAGATGAAGCTATCTGCCAAAATACAGGCAAACCCTTAGCATCTGTTTAGGTTCAAGTCCAAAAGAAAGCCTACTAATCAAGGGTTGTGTTCTTTCAAAGGACCAAACGGGGAAGACCTCACCAACCTAGAGATGGCCGATATCTTCAACACCAACTTTACTGAGCAGTTACACCGGGCACCCACATGTTCAGAGCACTACGCCAACCCAGTGTCAGCTGACGGTTTGGGGAACATCCGTATCACTCCTGACTTAGTACTAAGGAAACTAAAATCCTTATACCCAGTTAAGTCATCAGGTCATGGCTAAATTGAAACAATATCCAGAAGTCCTGTGTTCACTGATATGTGTCCTATTCAGGCATTCGCCGGAGTCACACCAACTCCCAGCTGAATGGAAACAAGCTACACTCTCTCCAATCTTCAAGGAAGGAGAGAGAATGGACCCAGCCTGTTACACACCAGTCGCATTACTACTAATACTATCAAGGGTAATGGACGGGCTGTTGGACGACCGAATGAGGGAGTACGTGGATAAAAACAAAATACTCCACGAAGCTCAACACGGATTTCGGAAAGGCAGGTCATGAGCATCTAATCTTCTCATCGCATGGGACAGTTGGACATCCTGTTTAGACCGTAAAATACTGGTACACATAATATTCCTCGACTTTGCAAAAGCCTTTGTCACAAGTACAACACGCACACCTAATCGTAAAGGTTGTGGAAATGGGCATCACCGACCCACTCCTATCTTGGCTCAGAAACTACCTTGAGAATAGAAAGTTTCGCACTAAGGTAAATAGAGTGCACGCGCTAGCGAGTTTCCACATCGGGAGTTTCACAGGGGACCATCCTAGGTCCACTTCTCTTCCCGATATTTATTAACGACCTGTTAGGCTCAGTTAGCTCACCGACATTGATCCACGCAGACGATGCGAAGATCTGGAGGTCTATTAGAAGCGAAGAGGATTCGACTAAGCTTCAAAAGGACCTTACATCTATTGAGAAATAGGCAGTGAAAAACGGTTCAAAACTCAACCAATCGAATCACCAGGTCATGCATATTCTGCCTCACACGATGCAAACGATATACCCCTTCAATGGAAATCCACTCCCTAATGTCTCCTCAGAGCTTTATCTTGGTTTAATGACCACAGAAAGCCTCCACACGAGTCCAAACTATATAGAGGGCGCAGCCAAGGCAAATGCAACTCTTCACTTTATGCGAAGACAACTTGGTGCTACCACCCCACAGTTATTTTTACCACTATTTAAGACGTATGCGCGCCCACACCTGAAGGTTCACAATGTCATCGCACCCCATCTGCTTCAAAGAGACATGAATCTCTTGAAACGAGTGCAGAGACGATCAACCAAATGGGTGATAGGGTTAAAAAATAAACCCTACGACGATAAACTGCAGCTCTTGGGATTATTTCCACTGAGCTACAGGAGAATCAGAGGCGATCTGGTTATGGCGTACACCATATTAAACACGCCAAACCATCCCAATGTGAGCATCTTACCGATGCATCACCACCACTCCCCTAGAGGCAATCCTCGAAAGATTGCACATCAAAGAGCGAATACGCAGGTTCGTGCACACTTTTTCTCATTGAGAGTCGTCACAACTTGGAATGCTCTGCCAGACGAGATGACCACAGCCCCCATAGTAGAAAGCTTTAAGAAGAGACTGGATAATTACGTACTCACATACGGATTATCATCTCCCTCTTGGACAAGCTGTTCATGATACATATCTTGAGACCTGCTAGTTGTCATCATTGTCATCTCCTCAGATTACTTACTTGATCTATCTTACCATTACCTACCTCTGTTTCCTCTCTCTTGCTTACTCTACGGTCCTCTGTCACAATCTTTACTACCAATTAATAAACTAAATCACCTATATATTACTTAGTTCTTAAATTTTATTCATGTTAGCATTAGAATTTCATACTTATTATCCTTATTACTCTCCACATTGCAACTAACTGATCTGCGGTCTGGTAATGTGATAGCTACTGGTATCCAGAAACCCTACTGCCCTGAAACAAACGTTTTCATTCAAATCCCGAGACATACAAACTCACAACCAACTGCCAACTGACTATAATTTGACAGTCGAGTGGTTAGACCCCATTCATTGGACACTACCGAACACCTGGAACCTTACCGAAAGAACAATAATCGAGCGCAAAGGAATCAAATTGGTTTACACTAGCTCGTGTAAACGATATTGGATATTGGAAATGACGGCTGGTATCTAGAAACCCTAAATTCTGAAACAACTACCAAATGATTCTAATAAGTGTAGTTTAGTGGCCAGACTATAATCCAATTATAATAAGCCAAATATCCGGAACTCTACCGAGACAACAATAATCGAGCGCAAGGAAATCAGTTGGATTATGATTGGTTGTGAAAAAAACATTGGATATTGGATACTGTATTGATTTCGTTGTGCTCGTTTCTTGTAGTTGCGGTACAATCCCAGATACTTGGTTGTAGTCTGTCCACTTGAATTCATTAATCCGGGTTAGTTTGGTAACTATTTATAAAGTAGTTTAGCCTTCTTATTTAAGTGAGTGCGTTTTTGTCCCTGAGTATTAGGGTGTCTGAACAACAGCTGTAATTACCCTGATGGAAGATCAGTTGTTTGCAATGTGGCAAATAATAAAGGCACGATCCTGTTGTTAGGGAAAAGGTGCATATTCGATTAAGTAAATAAATAATCTGGAATTTTGGTGTTTTAGATAGTGCAGGAGGGCCGAAGTAAAACTGCAAAGGAGTGACAAATTATGAGAAAAATCAAGTTAGTAAGCTAGTTATAGTGATAGTGACAAATGAGTTACAATACATAAATCAGGATTAGCTGGTCAAAAGGGGAGATGGCAGTCCACGAGTTAGCATGTGTCAACCTAATTTTCTCACGAAACTATTCACCGAGTAGGTTCTAGTCACTCCGCCCCGCAGAGTATTCTAGGTGGGTGTAACTTTTAGTGAGAAAATTTGAAGTGCAATTAAGTGAAATAACTTCAAGAAGCGAAAGATATAGGTGATGAGGAATTCAGAAGACTAGAATTTGAGAGAACACGAAGAGTGTATGCACCTGTGCTAATGCAAACGATTTCATACCATGTCGTTCAAGGTTTCTAACCATCGATTACTATCGTCTCGCGGACACCAACCAGGTAGTTTACATCTATCAAAATGACTCAGTCCACTTCGTTGATTTGTGCTATGTCTTGGTTTGGCCGCCCACAGGTTTCTTCCAACCTACTCCTGCAACACAAAACATCGCTCGTTTAAGCAGTCAGTGGTTGGACATACGTAACTCATGACCCAACCACCTCAACTGATGAAGTTTCAGTACTTCATATGTTGATCTACCATGCCTACTTAGTACTCGTTTCCTAACAAGTACATTCCTTACTCGGTTTTCCCAAGATTTACGAGCAATGTTTCGAACAGTCCTGTGATCGAGAACCAGTAACCTACCAATGTTCTGTACTTTTACTGGCCATGTTACACGACCGTATTGTAGGACCGAACGAACTGCTGCGCATTAAACCCGTCCCTTGGTTTGAAGACCGATAGCTGGCCTACACTATATATGATGTAGGTTTGGAAAAGTTGGTCGAGCATGTACTCAACAACAGCCTGCGTCACTGGGAGCTTATGACTCACTTTCCTCTTCCTCCTTTTCTTAAGAGTATTACTAGGAGTAAAAATCTGCTCGCATTAGTTGCTGATTTCTTGATTGGAAACTTTGTTGATTTGCCCGAATCGAGTGGTCTATGTTGTACATATTACTGTGAGGTCCATTGTCCAATGTCATTCTAAGCCCTTTAATGATCTTTTTGATAGAAACTCGTATTTTCGTTTCATTGCTTATCCCTGATTTACGGACTCTGCTAGTCCTCCTGGTATTTATGGTATAAGTACTGGTTGCGACGCCACCACCATGCATGTTACTGAATAGGCTAAAAATTAGGATGTCAGTCAATTTAAGAAGGAAATACACAGGTTTAGAGAGTGAATATGTACTATAGAAGAATAGAGCCGGAAAGACTTACAATTTTAACATTGCCTTTAACCTTTGCTGTCAAGCACCTTCGCGTAGATCCAGTAATTTTGCCACTGGTTCTGTGTTTGCATGTGAATGAATGTGTGCATGTTGCAGTTGAAGCAGTTAGGAAGAGAGTTGATCGAGGCAGCCAGATCTATGGCATAGTGGTCCAAGCTTGGTATATCCTTCAGTGTTCTAATATGGTGGCGAAAGTTGGATTGTTTCCTGTTAAGTTTGAAGGCCGTTTGAGATTAGTTAACGTCCAAACGTTGAGTATGCCTACAGCCATCGGCACGCGGTCATCTTTTCTATTCTATCAACTAGTCTTGACTGTCAGATTGTTTTAATCTCATTTTGTGCTATTCCAGATTGCTGTTGGTTGCTTTCATTACTAATTGTAATTGTATGCTATATGCTTACTGAGTAGTTGGCTAACTTGTTCTCTTGTTTTTTTCTCTTGCAAACTATCTCACATACCGCTCCTCATACCCCGCAATACATACAGTACTCTTAGAAGCAACGGAAACCTTCCAAAGACTGAACGTTACATGTGATTATGTCTGAACGTTCGGAAATGGAACATGCGGTGGGTAGAGTTGGTGCTGGAACTATCCCTTTGTCAATCCTTATTGAATTCATTTCACAGAAAGTTTACACAGATCTTATGCGTCTTATTGATTTGTAAGTCATTGCTGATAAGTAGTGTTACAAATTAGATTGCCCAGCAAAACAGATCTTGAAAAGAAGATAGAAATCGCTACATTTTTTAGCCGTACCCAACATCTTTTTATAAGGCTTGAAGCTCTAGTTAAGTGGTCAAACAGTGCTTCAAAGGTTGACAAATGTGAGGTACTATCTCTAGAATTGGAGAAATCTTCCTCTTAGAAAATTTCAAACTTTTTAGAAGAGCAAAGTTTCTTCTTGATAAGTACTGCAAATGCCCTCTCCAGGCTTCTTAGAGAGACATTAGTCAGTGCGAGGTAAGTTCATACTAGTGTTAAATAACTTTCAGGTTACCACCGTTTTCTGTGCTTCTTGCGATTGATATTTTTACAAATAAAGGATATACTCGTCTCCCGAAATCCATAAAAGTAACTAAACATTGATTATTAATGTTTAAGAACTCTGCTTTTGTTGCTGAATATGTCACTGAACAAGAAAAGAAGCAAGCACTCATCGATCTGAACTGTATAATCCAAAATCGCCTTAGCCTTACTCAGTTGCCGCATCAATTCCGGACAATCAAAATAGGTATAGTTTTATCGGATATTTTATATTTTTAGCTGATGGACGCGCACAGTTTGTCGTCCAGAATGAATTCTCTGTAGGTTATCGGACTATTGATGATAACGTTTCTTAGGTTACTGTGACACTCATGTCTGAAGCGCTTGACTTCCCATGGCGAATTCTAGATCTCAAATTCTTACTTAAAGACCCATCGATGAGTAAGTGTACTGTATATGATATTCAACTGTACTTTTGGCTTTAAATACTAATTTTCATTCATTCTTGTGTTTTTTCGATTATAGCTACATGGCGTTCTGTTCATGTATTAAGTGTCTGCTCACTGATCATAATCACGAACTGTTTAGTTCGGAATGAGATTTTTAAAACTGTATATAATGTTATTGTAAGAACATCGTCCATGTTGTCAATTGAAACATATTTTTGAATATCTCTTGACTTCCTATTATTTTTTTCCTAGTTTGTAGGTATAGTCGAAATGAATTCTTCTTAAAAGTTCAAACATAAGACTTGACTCTGGTCATCTATGTTGCACCTATTGTACAATATATAGTTGCATGTCATTTGTAGCCTCAGCATCTCAAAGTTTCTTTACTCTTTGCTATAGAGGTGAAAATAAACAATTCCCTATGTTAATATCCTCACTACATAAATTCCAAACATCAACACCTCATTTCAGTTGCGCAATGTAGCTCTGAAGTCTAACGTGATAAAATACTCATCTTTTTACCAAACTATTTAAGAGTGCCTCGAGCAACACCAAATCCGTGACCATACCTTACTATAAATTAGTCTTTTCGATTTTTTAGCGTGAACTATTTTACCATATATTTATATTCTGTGTCGACAGATCAGTAACTCATGTACTGGGATCAACTTAAATTCGTATATCTTGAAATAAGGAGCCAATAGCGTGATTATTAGTTCTTCTTTTGCCTACATTTGCCTCCATTCAATTAGTTCTCGGAACTTGACTTTCGAAATGGTCTTACACACGGCAGTGTAACATTTCTCTAATATTATGCCAAAGAACCAAATTTATTGGCTTTATTCTTATTACAAGTATATTAATAACATTTTGGTCAAAAAGCTTGGAAAACAAAACTGATAATTTTGGTAATATGACCATGGATATATAACCAAGTTCGTAATCTCAGCAAGAACAAGGAGAATTATTAAAATTTACCAAGAGATTATATATTTATTTCAATGCATATAAAGTTATTATATCCAGTTTCAGTGGAAGAAAAGCTTCACTATCCCTTAATATTACTCAAGTTATAATTATTGGCAAAGTGAATATGATTTTTCCAAAATTATCTTACCGAAATAAACGTCAAACAACCTCTAAAACGTATCAGTATGTGTGATTACATAGTATTAGGATCATTGACAGTGCTAGTAGAAATAACGGTCATAACCCATAAGAGGTAAGTTCTAAGTAATTCATTAATTATCTGAACCAATAGTTCTCATGGTAAAATCTTACTGATTAATGTTTGTTTTTTTATTTTAATATTTTTGTATGTCATATCTAGACTACCAAAATCTTGTTCACCCGGCACAAACAAGACTTATAATTAACCAAGCCCAATCACGTTTACTCTACCGACAGTTTGATAAACGTCCACCTCTTGTTCATCTTTATGATATGTTGCGTATCCTTTTATTTTTGGTAAATGGATATTAGATTGCTCATGTGAAATAATGTGCTATGATATAATTTGTTCTAGTTTTTAGTCACAGATCTTTCTCTGTAATCATCCACTGGTAAGAGTAGTTATTATCATAGTGTTTTTAGCCTAGTCTAAACTCATGCTTTCCTTTTTTTATATATCTAAATATTCATCATTTGGATGATTTAGGTGAGTCTGACTTGTAACGCATAGCAAATATGATAACATATTTACTGCCAGCAATCTTATTACAATAAATGACTGTTCACTAAATAAAAGCATTTAAAGCTGTGTTATTATTTCATCTATCGTTAATGAAGCAAATCTTGTCAAGAATAGCTCGCATTCTTTAAAAACCCATTTGCACCACAATTCAATGTCGAGATTTAGCTTAAGTCACATTTTTACTGTAGCTAATGGTCATCAGTAGATTGTCAAGTAAAAACGAAAGGGATTGATTTGGAAAGTTTAATTTGAAAGTAGTGAATTTACTGTTGATATTCTTTCTGCTCTACCACTGATTCTACACTGGATTATTTATTCTATCCATCCAATCAAACACCTCACTTTCCATGAAGGTTTTCTTGCACTAATGATTGTCCATACTACAAGTTATTTCTTATAACATTAATCAGTTTGAATTTCTTGTTTTAAGTGATGACAAGTATTATCGATTACATACTGACCGTTACAACATTATATATATATATATATATATATATATATATTCAAATGGTGTATAAATGTTAAAAATCTGAACGAAACTGTACTCATTATGTCAGTGTTATTACCTGCTAGGTTTTAAAAATAATCATAGTCATTCCTTAACATGATGTGTATGTATGCGATATGTAGATGCTTTTAGCTTATCACTTCAATTGGATATGTTACATGAACAAGCTCAACGAGCACGTTCAAAACGACCACCAGATCAACTTACAATCGAAGCTTATAGACCTAGTAGATGTTTATCAATTTCTTATTGGCATGGTTTGGCCAGAACTCAATATAATTCAGTTATGGCTTTAGATGGAAAGCTACATCCCACAGGTATGTATACATTTTTGCATTCGTTTTAATGTTTCAAGGTAACGTCACTGTCGGTGGAATAAACACTAGTAAACTTATAAACAAGTTAGTTCGATGATAAAATCTTTTACGACGAATTCATTTTCAACGTTATACAATTAGAAATGCATTAAGTTCTAAACGTAAAAAACTATATTTTCTTTAAGATAATAATAGTGCATTGTCCTGGGTTCGAGTCCTGACAGTAGCAGGAGTCATGGATGCGGACTGTTGAAGCGTCCTATACCAGAACGAAACGGCCGTCCAGTGGTTCCAGGTTCCTAATGGTGGTCTAACATTGATTCATTCATGATTTCAATGTGTCATGTTTTCTCTGCTTCTTCAGTTTCTAATGGTCACTTAAATTGACAATATTATATTTAAGCTAACTCCCTTATCTTTTCAGCCTACTTACTTACCATTCATGTTGATGCAACCGAACCTCAGAGACCACTGTGTGTCAGTCATCGCCCTGAGCTTACTACTTCGAAATCTCAACTAGTTGGAGCAACAGTACAAGTGAGTATCAGTTCATGATTATATCGTATACAGTATTTTTACGTATGTATGCGTTTTATATCACACTGTTGATTGATTTACTGTACTTCCTGCCATCCTACCGCATCAATTGCCATATTAGACATAGCATAAATAAAATCCAAGAGTTACGCATTAAATTGCTCTTTCTTTACACCCGGTCAGTCAGTCAGTCAATAACAACGTAGATCTTCGTACTTATGTACATCAGTTCAAGTTGCCATACCACATTATCACAGAGACTCAATTTTCAGTTCAAATCCTATAGTAGTAGAGTTAGTAGATGTATTGGCAGTAGTCAAAAAGAATAATGATGGAATATATATACCCTAGAGGAATCAATGTAAAAAGAGAAAAAACGGTCATGAGGAATTCGGAAAATTGGGATATGAGAGAACACAAACAATCGATGCACCTGCGCCATTGCAAACGGTTTTGAGTCATGTCATTCAAGGTCTCTAACCATCGATTACTATCATCTCTCGGACCCCAACCAGGTAATCTACATCTATCAACATGACTCAGTCCACTTGTCAATGACTTCGTCGATTTGTGCCATGTTTTAGTTTAGCCACCCCCAGGTTTCTTCCAACCTACTTCTACACCTCATAACATAGCTCGATAAAGCAGTCGGTAGTTGGGCATTCGTAACCAATGTCCCAACCATGTCAACTGATGAAGTTTCAATACTTCGTCTATTAATTTGCCAACTATATCTAGTACCCGTTTACTAACAAATGCATTGCTTACTCGATAGTCCAAAGATATACGAGCAATGCTTCGGAAACACCTATGATCGAAAACCAGTAACCTACGAATATCCTCAACTCTTACCGGCCATGTTTCGCATTCATATAATAGGACGGAGCGAAGTGCTGCTCAGTACACTCGTCCTTTAGTCAGCAAACGGATATCTCGCCTACGCCATTAGTGACGCAACTTGGCAAAAGCCAATCGAGCCTTCTGTATCCGTGCTGAGATTTCGTCAGTCACCGGGCCATCAGCACATATGAGACTACCAAGATAAGTGAAGCGGTCGACAAGCCTACGTATCCCAAGTTCAGGTGCTGATATAAGCCAATCCTGAAGCAACATCTTGCGTTTCGAGAGGGAAAACCGCATCCCGAACATGCATTGTTGCTTAGCGTAGTCGGAAAACTCTGCATTTTGTCAGCGTCTTCACCAAATAGAACTATGTCGTCGGCATACTCTAAGTCAACAAGCGAGTTACCTGATTTAAGATCCACTCCTGAAAAGTCAGATGAATGTAATGTGATTTCTAAATGCATGTCTATGACAAAATTAAACAAAAATGGAGAAATTGGACATCCGTGACGGACATCACTTGATTGTGGTGGTGTTTCGTTCTCTGAGCTGGTTGTTTTGGTTGTGGAGCTTTCATTGTTCTTCTGAACAGCATCATCAGCACGAACTTCAGATAGAAGTGAAGTAGCCAATTCCGATATTAGTTCGCCATAAGCTCTCACTCGATTAGTGGCGTTCGATTGAAGTGCTTGTATAAGGTCAATGTACTTTCAATAACAAACACTGCCACAGAACCTCACGATCCACAGAGTCAAATGCCGCCTTAAGGTCCAGGAAGACAACTATTTTCGGACGCCTAAATGTGTGTCTGTGTTCTAGGGCCTGTCGTAGTGTGGAGATGTGGTCTATACAGCCACATCCAGGTCTGAAACCAGCCTGGTTTTCTCTAGTCTGCTGTTCACGAGCTCTAGTTAGGCGTCTAAGTATAATCGATGCCAATAATTTAGAAACTATATAAGTTAGACTAATTTCTCTGTGATTGTCACAAGAAGACTCTTGTCCTTGCTTATAGATTGGGCCACTCAGTGATTGAGACCAGTGTGATGGGATTATGTCCAGTTCCCAGATTCTTACTAAGATCTCAGTCAGTCTAACTGTTAAAACTGGACCACCATCCCTAAAAATCTCTGGGGTTAGCCTATCAGGGCTCGCTGCTCTTCCTCACTTCAGATTTCCTATATCCTTTTCAACTTATTAAAGATTGGGAGGGCTTATGTCGACTTGCCATTCAGAATGACTGAAGATCGTGGGTAACTGAAGTGTGATTGAGGGCCAATTGAGCTGATCCCTAAAATGCTCTGACCATCGATCCAAACTCCTGGATTGAAAATGGATAATAAGACGATCCTTTCCCGAGATAGGCTATCTCACATTCGAATTCCTAATACGGGTTTCCTTGAGAAGGCGGAACAACTGTCTGCTGTTGCCTGTCGCCGCTGCCTTTTCGATTGCAATTGCTTTCTCTACCCACCACTGCTCACGATCATTGCGTAGGCTTCTTACGAGCCTGCGCTTAAGCTGACTACGCTCTTCATCATGTTCAGAGCCAGGTGGGATGAATTTACGAGCGTCTATCAGTTCGGTGGATGCTACTGAGATCCACCACTTCTTGAATAATATCTTCTAACCCCAGCCTCTCCGACTACTGCTAATACCTTTACTACCTCTACTACTATTGGATTTAAATTGACATCTCTATGCTAATATGGTATGGCAACATGAACTGATGTACGTGCGTATAAAGTTCTACGTTGCAGTTCATTGACTGACTGAGATGCACTGCCTCTTCCTAGCCTTATGGTTTACCTTACCAGCTGATATCACTGCTTCCCTATCTTTCCGATTCCTTACTGTCCCATTTAGTCGGACCGCGCACAAGTGACTGTCTACTGGAATCCATTCTAGGAGAGCTAGTTCTGCTCTAGGACTTGATGCTATACCTACGTTAGCGAGACCCCGGGAAGCATCATCAGGGCTTCCAGATACGCGAAGAGTAAATCGAGTTGCTTCTGTATTTTGACAAGGTGGAATCATATTAATAATTTTACTGGGATCCTATGTGCGCGTTTCAGAAACGCAGCATACATCGATGGCTCGAGATTCTAAAGTCCTAGCTAAGGAAGCCTGTTGCCCTATTTGACACAATGTCCGGACATTAAGTTCTCCAACATGTAATTTAGAAATAACGTTTTGTGAACTAGCATAGTTTACATTAGCTGTGCAGTGTGATAACGGAATGTGAGAAGGGTTAGTCGTGGAGATAAGAGAGATATTAGGGCGAGTAGGAAGCATTTGATTCTGACTGATTTGGTTTCAAATGCTGTTACGAGTATGAGGGCGGATGTCACTTCCCGGCTGCCCATACCGTAGAACGGTGTTTCTTGAGGAACGTGAAAAGGAAGCTAGATTAGCGTTGGTCTTAACGACCTGGGAGCGTGACCGCAGAGTCCAAGGGACAACTGTTTGAGGCCGGTCACGCACGGCTTTTTCATGAAAAGTTTTTAGGGTATTAGCTCCGCTCTTTTTAAAAGCCTTTACTTGGCAGCCCGGATCGACGGAGACGGTAATCCGTGGGGTAAGGTGAGGTGTGACAATTTTAGAGTCAACCTTTACCAACCTTTCCTTGCTTGTGAGAAGGCAGCATCTCTGCAGATGCTAGTTGTCCGAGGGAAAAACCTTACTGTAGGGTTCGTCACTAGGTATGCTTGAAGGTATTACGAGTTCACCTTAGTCGATAAACGCGAACGAGACAATTACCAGCGTCCAGATTGGCTACGTTGAATCCCAAGCTGAAGATAAAAGGTTTTGTAAGCGTAGAAAGTATATTCTACAAACACCCAGCAATCACAGTACGATCAAGCATACAACTCTCGTTTATTTATACATCATAGAAACGTCCTTGGGACAGTTACGAAAACAGCACACTAAAATACACAGCAGCCAGTCACAGCCATGGATTTTCCTGGTGGGAAATGAAATCTCAAGGTCAACTGATCAGCCCATGCTGGCAAACGTGAAATCCAAAATAAGGCATTTAACAAGCGAGTGTTGGGGATCTAACATCCCCATCTTAGTTGTAGTGGGCGGCATAACGGGGCTGATTTCTGGCCATTTTGAGAGGGCATCGACCACAATTAAATACATAGTTACATTAATTGGACCAGCGAAGTCGACATGTATCCTGGACCAAGGATGCTCAGGTTTGGGCCATGAAACCGGCAGAATTTCGGCATTCATCTTTGCCGCCTGCTGACATCGCATGCATTTTTCAACCAACGCTGTGACATGTTGATCCATGTGAAGCCAGTATGCATAACTCCTGGCTATGGACTTCATTCGTTTAACCCCAGGATGACCGAGATGGAACTGTCTGAACACTTTTGCACGTAGGGATTCTGGCACCACTACTCTTTCACCAAACATCAAACAATCGTTCACGACGCATAGTGAATCCTGCCGCTGATGCGGTTGCTTCATGCCACCTTCAAACTTCGACGGCCGACCGTTAGTGACATATTTCATCGTCATCTTGATGATGGGGTCGTTTCTAGAAGTATTTTGTATGTCTGTTGTAGGCACCGGTAATGCACGAATTGCGGTTGTCAAGTAACATTCTGCGTGGTCTTATACTGACAGAAATGCGATCACCATGTTTTCCCCAGCCGCCACTTGATCATTAATGAGTCGTAACAAAGCGTCTGCTTGACCGAATCGTAGAGTGCGTCGACATTGGATTTCGGAATCACACCCAAAAAATACCAAGGCTCATCGCTGAAGACGATTTGCAGAATGGACTGGAATGCCAGATTTAGAACGGAATACTGCTGACAGAGGCTTGTGATCTGTGATGAGCGTGAATCTCCGACCGTACAGAGACGTGTGGAAACGGCGAACAGCAAACACAAGGGCAAGAGCCGCTTTCTCTATCTAGCTGTACTTCTTTTCTGCTAGGGTTAGTGTACGGGATGCATGCATAACGGCTTTTTCTGACGCGTCTGGAAACTGATGTGAAATAACAGCACCTAGGCCATATACTGAAGCGTCTGCTGCTACGATGATCGGCATGGATGGATCGTAGTGTGTTAATAACAGTTCCGAGCTAATTATAGACTTGAGTTTACCAAAAGCCGTGTCACACTTTTTAGTCCAGTTCCATGTGCTATGCTTCTGCAGTAGACAATTCAATGGAGCGCGAATATCATGTATCCAGGGAACAAATGCTGAATAATAACTGATTAATCCGAGAAAAGATCGTAATTCAGAAACATTAGTGGGAGTGGGCATCAGTTTGATAGCTCGGATGTTCTCAGGATCCGGTCTGCGACCGTCGGCATCAAAGACGAATCCCAAATACTTTACCGACTGCAATAGAAACTGGCATTTTTCTGGGCGTAACCAGAAACCATTGTCACTGATGCGTTGTAGTACCAATGTCGTGCGTTCCCGTAGCTGTTCTAACGTCTTCGCAACAATCGAGATATCATCGAGATAAGCTGCAACCCCTGAGATATCTGATAGGATAGTATCCATTAGTTGTTGGAAGATAGATGGGGCAGTCTTAACTCCAAAAGGCAGACAGTTGTACTGGAACAAACCACGATGGGTATTGATAGCAAGCAGCTCTTTAGATGCTTCATTGACTTCCACTTGTAAATAAGCATCAGCTAGGTCGAGCTTTGCGAAGAACTTTCCCCCATTCAGCACAGTGAACAGATCTGCTGAGACTGGCAGAGAATAATGATGCTGTTCTGGAGCTGCATTGAGACCTGTAGAGAAGTCAGCACATACACGTATCGTCCCGTTGGCCTTCTTGATAACGACTATAGATGCTGCCCAAGTAGAGTAAGAAACGGGAGTAACAACTCCTTGTCATTGAAGGCGATCCAACTCTTCCTCTACTGTTGCTAATGTTGCATAAGGTACGGGTCTCTTTTGACAAAAAGCAGGCTTATCCCCAGGTTTCAACCGAAGTGTTGCTTTCATGGCAGTGCACCGACCTAATCCAGGTTCAAAAATGGTTGAAAACTCCGTCATCAGCTTCTTCGTATATGATTCAGGGTCATGTGGTTGTGATACCAGGAGTTATATGGTATTTAGCGGGACATCAGCCAATTTTAGCTGGTCGAACCAATCTAAACCAAGTAAATTTAGACCATTTGGCGTTATATAACATACCCCAGTAAATGACGAGTCTCGGAAGGCAACTTTACATTCCAGCTGTCCTAACAAGCGAAGGTAATTACCACATGCTGTACGAGGCTTCCGTGTTGTGTGCTGTAGGCTTGGGCTACCCAATTTGGTCCAGTTTTTGCGTGAGAGGATAGTGACATCATATGCGGTATATATTTGCAATCTACACAAGTGCCCGTTAATATTAAGAGTAATAAATTTCCTTTCACCTGGTGATGAGCTTAGACAGGATGATAGTAGGCTCAGTGCATTGGTACCGGATCTAGGAACAGGCTTCTTAGCACTTCTGGATCGGTTTGGCTTTTTCTGTAGGCAAAAGCCATCTTTATGACCGATGACTTTACACTTCCTGAATCTGGAAGGGGCGGCTAGACCAAAACATGGCACAAATCCATGAAGTCACTGACAATTGGACTTAGTCATGTTGGTTGATGTAGACTACCTGGTTGGCGTCCGCGAGACGAAAGTCACCAATGGTTAGAGACCTTGAACGACATGGCTCAAAATCGTTTGCAATGGCGCAAGTGCATCCATTCGTTGTGCTCTCTCAATGCCTAATCTTCTGGAATCGTCAGCACCTCTACCTTTGTCTTTCTAACCTTATCTCACTGAATTATATTTTTTGAATAATATCTTAAACCCTAGTCTTCTTTATTATAACATTAATACCTCTACCATCTTTATCACTATGGGATTTGATTTGACATCTGCGTCTTTGTGCTAATGTGGTATGGCAACATGAACTTATGTACATACGTACGAAGTTCTACGTTGCTACTGACTGACTTCCTGAATCTATGTCGCCTAAATGGTCAGTTCCGTATATAGTGCCATGAGCCGCAGTGCCAGCAAGCAGCAGGGGGATTCATTTTGGATTTTTGGGCAGAGCTGGGGCGAGATGAACTGGGTGTAGCATGGACAGACTTATTCTGTTTAGGTGGCTGCTGTACCAAATGTACTTCAGATCGGCTTGAACTACCACTCTGCACTATGGTTGAGTCTCGTTGTAGGTTAATGAGACGTTGGTACTCATTAACCATGTCATTAAGCGTAAGTTTCGGATCTTGCTCCAACCGACATAGTAGCCTTGTTCTAATGTCACTGAACTTATGTGACTGGAGGCTGCAGATGAATATAAGGGCTTTAAGCTGATCTTCCGACAAAGACTTCAACCGAAAGCGTTCGCATTCACGGTTGACGATGCCCACATGCGTAAGAAAATCATCATCTTCGTTCATAATTAGCTTCAAACATCGATAACTAGTATTAAATAGTGACGAGTTATCGCCAAAATGTTGGCTTAAAGTCTGAATAGTCTCAGAAAATGAACAATCTCGTGGGTTCAAGGGCCTTAGTCGATAAACGCAAACGAGACAATTACCAGCGTCCAGACTGGCTACGTTGAATCCCAAGCTGAAGATAAAAGGTTTTGTAAGCGTAGAAAGTATATTCTACAAACACCCAGCAATCACAGTACGATCAAGCATACAACTCTCGTTTATTTATACATCATAGAAACGTCCTTGGGACAGTTACGAAAACAGCACACTAAAATACACAGCAGCCAGTCACAGCCATGGATTTTCCTGGTGGGAAATGAAATCTCAAGGTCAACTGATCAGCCCATGCTGGCAAACGTGAAATCCAAAATAAGGCATTTAACAAGCGAGTGTTGGGGATCTAACATCCCCAACATTTACTGCTGTCACACCCCTCTGCAGTCAGCAGTACGAATTTGCCCTCAGACCTTGAGTTATTGATATTTGGTTTAATAGTTACTATTCAATTATTACTTGGTTATTAGTGTGTCTCAAACTGATGCAGTATTTCTCAACCGATTGAAGCTACGTAGTAAGTCTGATCTTTCTAACTGGATTGTTAGATTAATCTGAGTTATTTCCCATACAAAATTTATCTTATAATTTTACCAGTCTTCATATTTTTTCTCTGTATACATTAGGGAGATTGTTTATCTATTGAAACTCTGTTGACTAGAACTATGGTAGCTAGAGCTGAACAAATGCTGCAGGTAAGTGATTTTATATCCTATGAATTTCTTAATTGGTTTAGTCAAATGAACACGTATAAAGTTTATTTCCTCCTTATGTCACACCTTTTAGTCTGGCATTGATTATAAAATACAGTTCATTATGAGGTTTCAAAGAAGTAATAACAAACTTTAATCGATCAATGCTTGTATATGAACTGATTGTTCATCATTAGAATCATTATGCCTAATGTTCAGTGTTGTTGTTTTTCGAGCTAGTAGTGTGGTGCGAGCTACTTATAAGTAGTATATGACGTGAGCGTCAACGTAATGTCTGGCAGCAGAAGATGGAGGAAGATCAAGAAAGGAAGAGTTAGAACACAATGGAATTTGTATGAAACACATGAATAGTGACAATGGATTGATGTTTTGCAACAGTAACAGTCCAATTCGATATGATGAACTGATATTTTGCAAATTAACGATTTACGATATGGTTTTCCGATTTTACTGAGTAACTGTAATTTTCGTTAAATACAATCCGGTTGCCCCACCTGTGTTCTCGTTCACTACAGTAGTATATAAATATGATAAGTTGTTTCGAGAGCAATATTTAGCTTCTTGCCTTTTGAATAACAATTAACTATTTCAGTTAAAATTAGTAATTCTATCTTAATGACATAAGAATGTAACCTTCAATTGTTCTGTTTCTATTCCTTTTTTCTTGTAGGATCTGAGACAAGAGCTACTGATTCTCAGCCCTGGACCTGTACGTCTAGCTGATGCTCCATTATGTTTGTATGTTCCACTCTTATGGCCTTGTGGTTCACATGAATTATTACAAGTACGCATAGACCCTGTACAAGGTTTTGTATGCACTTCATTCCCGTTACTTACTTCACTTGATACTGAGTTTGGTTCTACTGGGTCAGCTGTTGTTAATGTTAGTTTTGGTCCTACAGGGATATCTGAAAATTTCTCTCGTTCCAGTGTAATTAATACACTTGCTTCACTTGAGTCTGCCTTTAATCAAGCATCTTGTCATCGTGTTCGTCTTGTGTCTGCTACCGGGACGCTTGTTCAACCTCATGAAAGTGATCGTATCTGTTCAATCCAATCCCGAAGTTTGCGTAATCTTTCCCACGGGGATGCTCGATGGCGTTCTGTGATTTGTGAGTGCTTGGAACATTTACGATTGTGCTTGGGTTTGGCCAGATTAATGCAGACAGCAAAAATACATCGACCATTTTGGCAACCGTTTAAACGTCACCTTCCTTTAATATTGTCTCCTGCACAAGTTGAGTTATCAAATTCATGGTCTGAAAATCTAGTACGCTTGCAGCAGTCATATCGTTGGCCTATTTTATTTGCTCAGCTGTTTCCAAATAATGAATACTATATAGCATGTGAAGTTATTTCTACCCCTCTGAATGTAGATTATAAATATTACTTAATTGTTTGCAGTGCCCTTCCAGAACATACGAATGTCACTACAAATTTACAAGGCGTACTTGTTTTTAATTCTGAAATAAATCCCGCCTCTGGACATGTTAATGAAACTGGATTGTTTCTTCAAGTGACTCACTTCACATCGCTCATAGCTGATACTGTTTGGTCGAATAATCCATCAACAACGGTGAGTTTCAGTGTTTTGGCGTGTACGGTATGATGAAAGTTACATACTTTAAGTGTTGCTTTTCTCATACACCTGATCAAGATAACACATAGCATTCATGAAGACGCATAAGTTGTATGCCACATAAAACCCGACGCATTAATGTATTATACTGTTGACGTGTCTTTTTAATTGGAAAATGAAATTTAGATTGGTTTTCACAATATTTAATAAAAATATCAAAACTGTTCTTAGATTCTCTAAGTTTCTATATTTGAAATTTGAACGTCAGTTTTTAATTATCCTTTTCTGAGCGAACTGTTTGTAAATCTCGATTAGTTGTAACCAAAAGAAAAGTTATGCGAACCTTTCAAATAAAATTTAGGCTAATTATCACCTAGCAAATCATCCATTTTAACATTTTGCATCCTGATGCGAACACAAAGATTCTACTTTTTAATACAAGAAAAATAATGTAGAATAATGTAAATCAGAAGAGCACTGCAAGAATCTTTTCATGACACACCGTCTTGACACTAGTGTATACTTGTTAGGTAACTTACATTGATAAAGGTATAAAAGTATAATAGTCTTGACGAACTGAAAAACTATGTTGATAAAATATCGGTTTGCTTTCATGTGATGGCAAGTTCTTCAACTCTTTCCAAGGGAGAAAAAGCAAGACTGGTATAGTCGAAAAGTGATTTGCCATGCTATTTTGAAATTTCACCTTAAAACTATTACTACTCATAAGTAGCTCAAGGATTTACTCTCAAAAATGAGTTGCTTATTTATCACTTGCGGTTCTTTTATAGTGGATTTATTATTTGTTGAATCAGATATTGACTTCTGTGTAATTGAGTATTTACTAGCACGAATTTCCTGTAGCAAATATTTAATATGTTTCAAAAGTGTCAAATATGTACGCACATTACTACAGCATGCAAACAATATTGATTACAAACTGATTTATGAAGTACCGGTTTATTTACATTGGCTTTGAACCACACAATTTGTGTGGAAGCCAGTGATACTATCTCATTACTTTAACAGAATTTGTAAATAATGTAATTGAATGACTAAGTGATTTTAATACTGGGTCTAAATATATTACTCCAGCTCTAGCACACTGAAGTAGATCATGAAGTATTCTATAAATACTTGGACATGAGCTTCACTCTAAGTATGAGGACTGATCGCATCATACGGTTGTCTTAACTAATGTAGATGAAGCTCAGTTGCAAACTGAACTGTTTACTGAAGTCGAATGCTTTAACTAACGAGCCCTTGCTCCACATTTATCGTAAAAGTATGTATTCATTTACTAGTAGTTTTAAGTAAACCGTTATCTTAATCCGAAAACATTTGACGTTTACTCTCTGTTCTTAAAATTTTGTTTAAAGGATCGTTTATTTACATATGAAGTATGTATCTCATGTGGAAACTGACAGTGATACTACCTGACTATTGAAATCAATGTTGATGATACAAGTGAAGTTGTTGAGCTTGTTGGCCGCTTCACTCATTTTGTGAGTCTCATATGTGCTGATGGCTTGGTGGCTGACGGAATCTCAGCACGGATACAGAAGGCTCGATCGCCTTTTGCCAAGTTGCGTCACCAATGGCGTGGGCGAGATATCCGTTCGCTAATAAAAGGATGGGTGTACTGCGCAGCATTTCGCTCCGTTCTTCTATACGGATGCAAAACATGGCCAGTCAGAGTAGAAGATATTCGTAGGTTACTGGTTTTCGATCATAGATTTCTTCGAAGTATTGCTCATAAATCTTGGGGAAACCGAGTAAGCAATTCTGTAGTTAAGAAACGAGTACTAGGCAAGGATGACAAGTCAATTGTTGAAGTATTGAAACTTCATCAGTTGAGGCGGTTGCACATTGGTTACGTATGTTCAACCACTGAGCGATGTTTTATGGTGTAGGAGTAGTTTGGAAGAAAGCTAGGGGCGGCCAAGCTCTAACGTGTACTAATTGAATAGTTTCTTCAATTACTGCTAATACTTTCAATACCTCTATTACTATGGGCTTTGAATTGTTAATAACAACTCTGTTCGAATGTGGTATGGCAGGCAACCTGAACTGATGTACAAACGTTCGATAATCCGATGTCCGGAATTTTATTTCATTAATTAACTTTTTTACCATGTATGGACCCGTATACTTTTCTACGAATCACATTATGTGTTTGAGGGTTAGTAATGTTATCCGGTTACCCAGACCGAAATACGTAGAATAAACAGTGTGAACCCTGAATTTTGTAACTGAAAATCAATCATCTTAACCACTAAATTATCACTACACATCCATATGTATTATGCATGAAACCAATGTCTTATATCAGTATTCTAATATTATCGTCATTATTACCCCTTCTCGTTCTATTCAGCTGGAACAATTATGTGCTTGTATTAAAAAAGCTCAATCTACAATAGTTAATCAACGTTCAACACGTTTAAATGAATTATTAAATAAAATAAAATTATCGAATGCACTAGACAATAAATCATTTTATAATGATGATGTTGTTACGCACAAATCAGTGAGTTTACTTGAACCTCAAACTACCGTACCAACATTAGCTCGGTTAATTGGTACTTTAGAAGAGAATATACTTACTAATTATTTAATGGTTGAAGTAAGTTCATTTTTCTTAAAAATTTTTCTAAAGTTATGCCTGTATTTCGTAGGTTTCAAAATGTTTATACCAGTTAAAGATAACTGAGTTTTGAGAATTTGCCTAATTTCTTCTTCATTAAAGGGTTATCTATTTCTGAATAGATTCCATTTTGTTTGGTGATGTTATCTATTTTTTAGAGATAGGGGACATTTCGTATGTGAAAACTTTGATCTATTGGCCTATTAAATAGACTGAATATTCGAACAGTCAATAACCAAAAGTATTTCTTATTACATTTGCTTTCTCATCGTCACTACTGATAAAATGTCTTCATTGAAGTTAAGGATTATACAGTGATCAAACAAATGTATTGGAACTCAGTAATAGTAGTAATAGTCCATGTAGGTCATGTAAATATATTCAAGCTAATATAACTGGCAACATTAGGTGATATTGAGCATATACATGCGGGAAAATAACTATTTAAATAGAGTCAAATAAATAATTCTAACATCAAACAGTGTGCCATTGTTAATCTTACAAATAATGGCGTGCAAGAAAGTTGTGCAATAAATTATTGGTTACTTATTAGTAATATAACTCAAATACACAAATTATACAACGCTTTTGTTTTATTCACTTTCACTAACCAATATGCAGATGACCTTTTAGTAACCAATATGCAACAATGACGGAAGACTTGACTATTCTATGTTCGAACGACGGCTCAAACCAAAAGTGGTTGTGAGAAGCGGAAGACTGTAAATAATAAACTGTCAACAAAATAGGAACAATAAATTGTATGATAATAATTTATGGATTTAACGAATATATATATCTGATGGTCTAGTTACCCGATCAATATGCAGTCATTATATACAAGTGATACCTTAGCAAGATAGCTTCAGTGGAGTGCACAAACTGCAAAGAATCCTACAACATACAGTCTTCTGATTGTTTTGAGTTGCAGTACAAGAATTAGTTTCTGTCCGTCAAAATTTAAAATATTACCTCGCAACCATCCCGCTTCAACTTCTAGACTTACCTTTTAAAGCAAGGTAGTTAAGTGGTGTCGATTACCTCGCTTACCTTTAAAGTCTGTTTAGTCACAGTTTTTTAATGTATAATTAAATCTCAAAGTGGACTCAAAAATTTCGGTTAAGTTTTACCAACTTGCTTGATTTGTGATATAGGTTGAGACGTGTCTGTAGGCACGTATGGCGAATCACCTAGTAAGACGACGGTGACCTCTATGTCCTAGGTTCCTCAGACATGTATTACATTAACCGCTGCCTTCTACTGTTCACAGTCCTGGCTGATTCAGTTTTTGAAGAAGCAAATAGTATCCAAATCACTGTGTAATATGAGTTCATGTAGTAATTTTTTTTTGATCCAAGCCCTGATGATCAATGAAGATGATTATGGTGATTAGTAGTTGCAAACCATGGGTAACATATCCATTTCATGTTTTAAAAAACTACTTTTCTTTTATTGATCCATATAGCTTTCATGTGCGGGCATAGAACATAACGGAATGCGTTATGATGGTGCAGGTTGTTTATCTGCAATTACAATTACCAGGTAAGTTAATGTATTTATTAGTATGTTACATAGGTTCAAGTTGTCTTATCCCATTAGCACAGAGTGATGAAATTGTTTGAACACAAATCTTCTGAATTTCCGGCTCTGAGATTATGCTTAAGCACAGGCTCGTGGTATGTTTGGGCCCTTCCACCCTATCAGTAACACGAATTCGATTCCAAAATGCAGTATCTGTTCCTTTAGGATTGTATTTACGCCTTCCCAACAAGTATCAACTAGGGGAAAACTTAGTCTAGAGTAGTGATAAGACAGTGTAAATAGTTAGAACCTATCGCTCATTATATCTAATTCCTTCTGTACTGCCGTAGTCATGTCATGCAACTTTAATTTTTTCACAAAGAATTAAATTATCGTGATTTACGTTAATTTTTGTTTGATAAAATATAAGTGACTAAGATTGTTACATGCATTTGTTCAAATAATTCATATAGTCTATCTGTTGCCTATAATCAAAATCTGTATTTATCTGAAGCAGTGTACACATATTATTCATTCGTCCATTTACATTCGATAAATTCTGTCTTATTTCATATTATCATTTTAAAAATGTAAACTGTAATAAACAAAGACGTCAAGACTAATGGTATGTTCAGAGAAGACACAGTCTATTAATAAAACACATACACCTAATCTTCGAAATTCCCATTTGCGAATCAAACAGATTATTAACTATCTTCTTTCATATATCTTCTAATATTCGAGATCGTGCCGTACATTCCGATCCAGCATTCTGCTCTCCTTTAGTAACTTCTGGGAGACACCCCGTTGCAAGTAATTTCCACCACACTGAAAGGAGTGATCTATTTTAGGATATTACAAGTGAAGTAGTGATTCAAGTTACCTATACTAATGAAATTTTTCACAGATTCCGTTTTTGAAAACGCACTAATTGTGTTGTTAAGTGGAGAGTGTTTGCAGTTTTTCAAAGCGAAATAAGTGATGTGTCTGTAGGGGCTGATTATTTTACAATTTAGTCATTAAAAATTTAATACTGAGCTCACAACTTTACATTTTTGAATTAAATCACCATTTTCCTATAAATACATATATATATATATATATATATATATGTATATATATATATACAACTCCATTGTATTCATTTAGTGTATTTATATATAACTCTCTCCTTTTATTTACAGTATACCATTCAATCCACCAAGTTGGTATTCATCTGATATTATTCCTCTGATGGATTTCGTTCATGAGATGATACTTCGACCACATTTCGATCCGTTTACACATCGTCGAAGTTGGCAATTAGATATTGTCTTCACTGGTATTGTAGCTCCTCTAAACGGGATTCATCAAGTGTCTTCAACTTATTTACGTCATCAAACTGCTGAATGGACTGTTTCAAGATTAGAACATTTCAATATTGTTGTACAAAATATACTAGTAGAATGGGAAAATTTATGTTCAATGCATGCTTTATGTTATCATGTTATCACTAATCCTGGTAAGTATAGTTTTAAACTAAACTCAGCGTGTTCTTTGTCTACGTTGAGATATACTACAGTCAGTGTTGTCCATGATGATAGTACAATCAACCTAACGTGTCGGAGATATTTGTTATTTTTCGGTTAACTAACCATAGTAGCATGATGGTTTCAATACACTATAACCGACTGCATTGTTGAGCTGTACTTGGCGATGTAGGAATAGGTTGGAAGAAAGCTAAGGGCGGCCAAACTTAATCCATGAAGTCACTGACAACTGGAGTGAGTCATGTCGGCAGGTGTCGATTACCTGGTTGGGACCAGCGAGATGATAGCAATCGATGGTTAGTGACATTGAACGACATGGCTCAAAACCGGTTGCAATGGCGCAGGTGCATTCATTCTTTGTGTTCGCTCAAAGTAGAAATTTACTTTTTAATAATATATTCAATCAATGTATTATTGTTTAGTGATAACTGGTTAAAAAGTACTCGATTACCGACCATTAGATAACAATTATGAATTTCGTCCCACCTAATTCTTTGTTTTGAAATAATTCGAACCGTTTAAACTGGTATCACTTAAAGTTGATAAAAATAGTTAATTAATCTGTGAAACTTATTGCCCACATTTTCTATGCAAACTAGTAATTAATTTTAACAATAATGTATCAGCTATTTTATATTGGGTAACGCCTTTTCTGTTATTCATGACAAGAAATAAGTAATCAATGACTCCCCTACTGATTAATAACGACGTTAGTACTTCCACTGCTAACGATGATTTATGATACTTAATTAAAATCTAATTATGTGCATTTGTTCACGTTAATTCAATTCAGAACTGTCTGTACCTATTCTTGCGTAATATCACTGAGAGTTACTGGTCGCAATGTTTTGGAACGATCACTTAAGTAATCCAACCAATCGGTATCAAGTTCTGACCACATTCCACTTATAATTCAGTTTTCATAATCGAATGTTATCGCTAGTCCTCACTTAGAAATTATATATCCATACCCTAAGTGTATAATGGTTTCATTAATAAATCAGTTATAACTATAACTGTTCTCAATTGATTTAACTTGACAAATCATCTCTTAACATCGCTGTGTCTTATTTTAGGTGTGTATACTTTAATTAAATGAGAAATTAGCATTCTGATAATTTTGTTTGTTCAGCATTATTCGTCTCTCCTTTTTTTCTCTTAAATAGATACTTATCTTCCCAAAGGTGTACAAGTTTACTCATACAATCTTCGATCAATATCACTGGTTTATGGAACTTACTACTTAGTGAGTTCTATTGAATGTGATTTGATAAAATAAGTATGACATTGTCTATTATCATTTTAGTGTAACATTCTTGATAGCTAATATTTGGATCGATCATACTTAGAAGACTGAGGCAGGCGCGGAAGATAGTATTATCCAAATTTACACTCTGAGTCAATTAAAAACGAAAACATTACATTGAACACTCTATTTGCACACCATCTTGCAGTCATCACTTCCAACCCTCCACCCTTCTTCCATTCCTGTTGGTACTTCATTTACTTCTTGCTTTTGGTCCATTTGCTTTCCGTTTTCCTCTTCTGACCGTGAGACTTCTTTCACGTCCCTTCTTATACTACTTATATCGTTCATATAAGTAGCACACACCACAATACGACTGAGTGACGTTCGAAAAATCAACAAACCATCGCTCTAGAAATATGTACAAAATACTTACCACCTACCTCAGTTCAGAACTGGCTTACGTCAATCAATCCCTGAACTAAGGTTTGGGAGTAAAGTATTTGAATAGTGTATCGATCACATCACTTAACTGACGAAACCTGGGCAAGAATTCAAAAAACTCTATGGGTTTCTGTCAATTTACATTACTTATAATATGAACAAAATATTACCATTCATAATATTGATAACTCTAGTACTCCCAGATATGCCTTGAAAATTTCATCTCACTGTGCTAAATTGGGTATGACAACTTGTCAATTCAAATCCCGTAGAGGTAAAGGTTGTAGCAGTATTGGCGGTAATCGAAAAGATTAGAGATTGAAGACATGATTTAAGAAGTATACTCCGACTGAAATAAATTACAACTAGAATATAAGGTCGTGAGGAATTTAGAAGATTAAAATTTGAAAGAAGGCAAAGAATGGATGCATCAGCACTATTGCAAACGATTTTGAGCCATGTCATAAAACGTCTCTTACCATCGGGTATTATTGTCTCGCGGACCCCAACCAGGTTAGTCTATACCGACTGACAGCAGATATCATTGCTGTTTCCATAGCTTTTTGGATATCATTCCAAGCTACCTTGAGGTGGGCACCACTTACATGGCTCTCCAACTGTTTTTCTAGTTGCTCTCGAAATAAACCCTTGGCTTTTTGTTGTTAAGTTTAACTCTGATAGGTTTCGTTGTTTTTTCTGTCATGCGTCTAGTAAGCCACAGACCAATACGCGCCTGTTCTAAAGCATGATCTGATCTTTTCTAATCCCTTCCGTTGTGTAGAAGCAGCGTCGCTGTAGATGCTGGTTTTCTGAGTGGAGCACCTTACTGTTATCACATCTCTCCTCAGTCAGCAGTATGACTCCGCTCTTAGACCTTATGTTGCTGCCATTAGTCTTACCGTTCTCCAGCCGACCTGCTTGGCATAATAGAACCTAAAGAAACATTGGTTAGTATAAAGATAAAAAATGAACTGAATTTTCATGTCATGCTTTTATTATTATTATTATCTTTTGGTTTCCCTTTTTTTTCACAGGCTGATATCTCCAATCCAACTGGACTTAAATTTATATTGGCTTTGGGTTTTCGACCAATATCATTGAGTAGTAGTAGTAGTAGTAGTAGTACAACGAAACCATTAAACTCTGATGATATCACTACGAATACTGTAATAAATGTTGATTTTAATCCACATATGATTATTAGACAACATTTGGAAGAATTGTTAAATGCCAGGAAATCGATTTGTACTTTAGCTACAGTAAGTGATTATCATTTATTATATATACTTGGAAGCAGTCTGTTTTGTTTCTTGACCTTTCAAACTGTTCAAGTTGTAAATATAATCTTGATTAGAAAAAAAGTTTAATCCGTTAACTACAATCGGTATGTTTCACTTTTTTAAAATGTCAAGTACAGTATATAGAAAAATTCTAGTTTGTAGTGTTAACTTGAAAAGCTTGCTCCTGGATTCGTGAATTTTACTATATTCATGGTCAACCAACATGCCTGCTGCACATGCACATCGCTGCGTTGATGTACAGCGCAAGGATACTCACTGTTGCCAACAGTACTGACCCCTGCCCCTTTCGGGTACGTACATGTTGTCCGGTTTGGTCTGCAGACACATCGGACATCCAAAAAGCACGCACACGAGCAGTGGCTCCTGCACGGGCACTTATGAATCAAGAAATCCCACCAACCAAACCACAGCCCACAATCCCCAATCGGCGAGGGCGGCAAGGCGGGCTTATCCTTCCGAACAAGGGACCCCGTAGCAGGTTACCGAGCCACCCAAGCAGTGCACTAACCAGCAGCCATTCCAACCGTCTGGCCTCCAACTGCCTTGCGTTGATACAATCGATCGAGGCCCATCTTACCCCGCATTAAGCTAAAGATCGAGTTTGTCCCACAAGGTCAGCTAGAACGAACACCCTTCCATGAGGAAGATGTCAAGTACTAGGTAAGGATGATAGATCAACTGATAGAGTAGTGGAACTTCAGTTGAGGTGTAACTTATAACCAACCACCGAATGTCTTGACGAGCTATGTTTCATGATGTAGAAGTAGAAAACAAGAAAGCTTTTAGTGGTGACCGAGTCGAGATTGACCATGATTACCACTAAACATTCATTACTATCCCGTCACAAATTATAGAAATAAATCCATGGTTCAGTATTTATTTGAAGGAGAAATTAGCCGTTACATAGAACAGCAAGTTATACAAAATGGCAGCAACGCGTAAACGAACGTTGCGCGCAAGTCAGTGTTCTTGGTACAGTTAAGCGAATTGGGTACAATAATAAGTTTTTATTTTTCACCAATCGCGTTTTCTTCGTAGAAGTGTTCCACTACAAGCTAGGGGAGACCAAAACACGACACTAATCCATGAAGTCACTGACAAGTGAACTGAGTCATGTCGGTAGGTATAGACTACCTGATAGGTGTCCGCGAGACATTAGTAACCCATGGTTTGGGTATTTGAATGACGTGGCTGGAAATCGTGTGCGATGACGCAGGTGCATCCATTCTTTGGGTTTTCTTAACTTTTAAATTTACTTCACCGGGATGTACTTCTCAAAGCATATCTTTTCGATTACCGCTAATGTGGTATGACAACTTGAACTGATGTATTTGCGTACGAAGTTTTTCGTTGTTTCTGATCGACTGACCATTAATTCATTAATTTTTACCCTTATCGTATCAATTCCATTCAACCACTGGTGATCAGAATGCAACTACAGAATTATTAAATCCAAAATATATAAATTAATTTTCACTTATACCAGTAATTTAGTTTAATAATTTTAAAACTACCAAATCTGTCTTTGTTGTTGAAGAATATGGCTTTTCACATTTTTTTTCTCTTTTTACAGACACTATTGAATACTTTGGAATTCTTTCAATGTATGGAACCACTTAGAGATCAAATTTTATCATACAATGGTCTTAAAGTAATTGTTTTTTTTGTTGAAATTTAAATATTAATAATTCTTTTCTATTATTAAATTAATTAATCGAGAATGATGAGGTTGCGCAAAAACCTTAGATTGATTGATCAAAGTTAGAGATTAACACCTTTGGATGCCGGCTCAGTGGTCTGGAGGTGAAGCAAGCGCACGTGGATGCGAACTGCTAATGAATTCTCATACTAAGACCGATCGGTTTTTCTAGTACTTCCAGGTTTCTAATGAATGGTTTAACTATGATTGATTCACAATTTCAATGTAATAAACCCATTTACTATTAGATCGACTCGTATAAGTAGATGTGTAGCAGCTGGTTGGTATCTCCACTACTATCGTAACAAATGGTTGGGACGGTTGACTGCCATTGCTAAGAATCGATCACAATAGTGTAAATGCATCCACTCTTTGTTTTTCCTTTTAAATATTTAGCTTAAAAATTATTTCAACTGTGTTATTTTTGGGAAATTATTTCTTTTTCTGGAATCCTACTACTATCTATGCCTTGTCTGTTCCATCAACCAAAACAATTACGTTTCATTGAAATGATAAATCGATCGATGTTTGACCTCTATTGGAAACCTGAAATTACTGAACAGCCGTTTCGTCATGCTTTGGGACTTGATAATAATTCCCATCCACAACTTCGCTGGCAGGCATCGAACCTTCGGTTGGTTTTGTATGCGAACGCCTCACCACTTGACCACACTGAGTCGGTATTCAATATTTTTCACTACAAATTCATCTCAATGCAGTGGTAACTTTAACTGTTGCTTATAACTGACTGGCTGACTGACTAAAAAGTTCATTAATAATAGAAGATTATTCTGTAAAGTTTTTTTCAATACGTATATGTTTTTCATTTATCCTTTTCTTTTTCTTCTTCAATTCATTGTTTTTGGTTTATTTAGGTTACATCTTTGTATAATAATTATATACAACCTGTATGTGGTATGCTATTGATCGCATTATCCCCCTATGATCTTATTCTAATTTATCGTGCTTCATTAAGTCTACGAATCACACTGGATATTGTACAACAGTCAGTGTTGTCGTCTACAATCATATCATCATCATCATTATCTAGCGATCACAATCCTAATAATACGCCGAAAACAATAAAATCTATTCAATTAATCGATGCCTACAATCAATTAGCCACTGGGCAAAAACTCTTTCCACCTATTGTCAATACAGATGGATGGAATAGTAGTCAATTGACGAATGATAAAGCTTTATGTAATTTAGCTCCATTACCTGCTTTTTCGGTAGGTTTTTTTTTAACATTGATTATTAGTTGTGTATTTGTTTTCGTGTGTTGATAGATTAGAATGTCTACAATTGTTCAGTTCAAAAATGTGAATACTTGTGAGAATACTACATGATTAAAATAATTGAAAAGTGCCAATTCAGGATCTTAACTATCATAAGTCATCATATATATATATATATATCAAAAAATGTAGCCCCCCCCCATATATCCTGCAACGGCTGACAGTTAGGATAGTTCACTCTCCAGCTCCAAATGCTGATCATGCGTATGTATCCACTGCCACGGAAGTTATACTCACTGCTTTCTCATGCAGCATGTGTTTTGTTTACAAAATTGAGAAGTCTAAAGGTTTTAATTGGATTGGTGGATACAGGTGATCCACCTGGCGGAATTGGATAACCCTGATTCCTAATCAGTGGTATACATCAGTTCCAAGTTCCTGAGTGAACCTCTGGAGTAAATGCATATTGTTGGTTGCTTTCTATCACATGACCAAATCTCCTAACGTCGTCGCTTCACAGTCTTGGGGATTAGGCTTCTAGATCAAAGACTCAGGGATTGGTCCCCAATAAAACTACTAGCTTCGGTTTGGTCAGCTGAACAGTATCCCAACCGTTTCACGAATTCAATGATTTTTATTTTGCACACATTAAAATGCCTCTTTGTACTAATTTTTAAATGTTTTAATAAGCACTAAAGTAATATCATGTATGTTTAAGTAGAATAGCCACCTCATCATCATCATCTCGTTAAATACCTGAAACGTTTAAAACATTTAAAAAAGTATCACCAGTTTGTTTATCTGCATCACTTTCATTGTGTTCATTATTGCTGTTGTTTTGTTGGACGATAGTATATTGTAATAGTGAACAATGTATTTATTTTTATCGGCGTTCATCAGTTTGTAACCCTTATTTGGATTCAGTCAAGTATAACTCCCTATTTAATTTAGATAATTCAGTTGATCTCATCATCCTGTTACATAGTCTTTCATGGTTTAGACACTTGTTACGAATGTGTCGTCCTAGCAAATTCCATATCTGGCATTATTTACTGATTGAAACTGATCAGAAAAAAAGGAGAGATGGTCGATCAGTTTATGACATGATGCCTGGGGGTATGAAAGGGAGTTGTGCAAGACTGACAGCTTTCAATCTTTTATGAATTCCTGACTAGAATCCTAGAATCCGAATTCAAGTAAGCAGACTGGGGTTCAAGTCAGCAACAGAGCAGTCAACGGTTCAACACTGTAATAATCCCTAAAGCACTGTTCCATTCCTCAAAAGATTTTCTGTTGTGATTGTTGCTGGACACTAAATGTTTCTATGATAGATATATTTTTCTACAAAATCTTTTTCTTCCAGTCTTATCACAGATTACTTTCTATTTTTTTCTATAAATTTTTATCTAGAAATTTTTAAGATCGTTGCAAGAATTATTTCGTATAAATTCAGATGGTAAGCTATTTTACTAATGTTATTATTATTATTATTGTTATTTATATGTATCTTAACTATTCAATAATTCATTGAACGATGAAGAACTAATATTTTCTATAGAGAGGTACTTGATGGGGAGATCGTTGAATAGTAGTTGATATTATGAACTCATCCCAATCAGACAACAACCATTGACAAACCAGGAATTATTGAACAGATGCTTTGCTGTAGTATAGGAATTTTCAAGGCATCTGCGACCTCACCGATGATCAATCCTAGAATCATTTTGATTCTCTCACAAATCGTTGCTGTTTAAAAAGACAATGGAAGTGCTGTCCGTTACCTTAAATTACCACAATTATTTCAGAGAATCGTTTATTCTTCAACATTGTTTTTTTTAAATTATTTTATAGAAAAACTGGTCAAGTTAACACTTAGTCAATTCGCCCAGTTAACAAGATCAACTTTTAGTGAATTCGAATCTGGTGTCATATCATCGAAAGCATCCTCTGTAACAAATTGTTGTCGTCGTACTAATCTCGGTCTAACATTGCTTGAATCTTATCTATCAACAAGTTTATTATTTCATGCTGCTATTTTGGCTGCACAAAGTTTAGACGTGCCAATTCACCATGTTCATAATGAAATCTATGAACAACCACAACAACAACAAACTGATGAACAACAACGAATTAAAAATCAACAAGATTTACTTGAAAATGCAAAGTTTGTTTGTATTTGGCCAGTGAGTCAAACAACCGTACAATTGTCCATGTTATGCCAACCAACTGCTTGTGATGGAATCGAACCATTCTGGTGGAGGTTGAAACTTCAACTCAATCAAAGTGTCAATTCATGTGATCGTTGGCCACCTGAAACGCTGAATGTTTTTGAAGAATTCTTCGAGAAAAGAGTAAGTTATACTCATTCACATACATACATGTGACATGATTTAATACCATTTTGTAGAGAGGTCGGTACCCCAGGTATGGCTACCGATTTACGTTTGAATAAAATCATTTGATTCGATTACTGCTACATTTGATCTGTTCAGCGATTAAGAATTAATCTATCTAGTTAGGACATTGAGTAAAGCTTGAGTGTAACACTCGTGGGATTCTGAAAATTAGTAGGGTTATTGATGAACACAATTTTTTGACGATAGTGTCTATTCCGAATAGATTAAACGCTTCAATCAAAGCTTTTAGTAATCTGGGAAAGTCAGAAACACCATCAATCTCTGATTCTGGTCGACAAAACATTACATATATGTGATTTATTAAGCTTGCTGATTACCGACTCATTGTCTGAATAATTACTGATGAATCTATGTTCAAGAAATCCTCTATGCATACGATTTTAACAAAACATATCAGTGTTGAAGATGCTTCCTTCTGAAGACCTCCAAAAATGGAATGAATGCAAGGTGAAACGTATGTAATGTTAGAAAAATTGGATAATCAGTAAAGAAACCTTGGATTTTCGGTTCCATACCAATTTGAATTTGTTATTAAGGCATAACTGCAATCTTAATAAATCTAATCTCTGGTCGCTTTGCTTGCTGTTAGGAATATGGGGTTGCGTTTCAGTTCATCCCGTTATGCATACCATAGAAGAACAGTTATTCTCGAAAGATCCAAAAAAGAAACTGAACGAATGGCGATTTTAGTAATCTTTGAGCAAGACTTCAGTGTCCAGAGATCATTTCCTTGAAACTAGTCACTTCTGGCCTTTCTATGACTGGTGTTAGGTGCGCTAACTCCCTTTGTTTAAGGGTTACGTTATTTCTAATGTCAAACCTTTATAATTCTCTTTTTCCTTTGTAAGAAAGCGGCTTCGTGCCATATGCTGCTTATCTAAGGGAATCAGTTAGCTGTTGTGTCGTACTGTATGATCGACAGCATGACTTCTTCTTTGAACCATGGATTTGCTGCTTTCACAACGAAATTACTTCTATTAGTTAGTGGCGATGGTATTACACTTTGGTAGTTACCAGCACACAACTCTTTGTTATAACTTACTTTTCTTTCTATTTAATATTATATTCCAGGTTTGTTCTTTCCCATTTCAACCAAGTGCTGTGACTGCATTCTTCCGATTATTATTACTTCCTCCACATGCATTACGTGCAATGGGTCGTGTTCTAGCGTTTGATTTACATTCACCTGCTCAAGCTCCAGTTTATGTACGTATTGGTTTAATTGGAATGGGTGTAAATTCACGTGTTACTGCTATCAATAGTAGTAATAATAATTCGCTAACAAATCAACCGGCAAATACAGCTGCTTCTGGTGCTGCACAAAATCTGCTTACATTTGATACTGGTTCTGATTTACAGCCTGGTATGCCTGGTATTATTGTTCGTCCATCGAAAATCACATTGCAATTGTTAATTATGCGATCACATTCACGACATTTGGTAAGTAAGCTGTTGTTATTGTCATTGTTTTTAGTTGTACCAATTTATGTAACTTGAAATCAAGTATATATTTTCACAGTAAAATGGTTAGTTTCGTTCTCTGAGCTGGATGTTTTGGTTGTGAAGCTTTCATTGTTCTTCTGAACAACACCATCAGCACAAACTTCAGATAGAAGTGAAGTATTCGAATTTCTCCACATTTGACCTGTAGCTTGTCGAATGCGGAGAAATTCGAATGCTTCACTTTTATCTGAAGTTTGTGTTGATGATACTGTTCAGAAGAACAATGAAAGCTTCACAACCAAAACATTCAACTCAGAGAACGAAACACCACCACAATCATCCACTTGAGCTACAAATTTTAGTTAGTGTAGTAGATTTCCATGTTTCACAAAATCAGTCAATTTTATTTTGACGGGACAAAAGAGCATTGATTTCTTACATATTAGACTACAAGGATACACTTGTTAGTTAACTTGCTATCTGAGATATTTTACATTTCGTCGATCGTTTTTACAACAATGTCATCACCTTTTGAATTGGAAGTAGACAAACGTGTAATGTTTTATGATAGTCATGAATATCAGTTTTTGATGATTTAGGTCTTTGAGATTTGTTTTCTAGTGTTGTGTTATGAATGGTCTTTCCTCTCTCAACTTGCTATCTGAGATATTTTACATTTCGTCGATCGTTTTTACAACAATGTCATCACCTTTTGAATTGGAAGTAGACAAACGTGTAATGTTTTATGATAGTCATGAATATCAGTTTTTGATGATTTAGGTCTTTGAGATTTGTTTTCTAGTGTTGTGTTATGAATGGTCTTTCCTCTCTCAACACATTCTCTCTGCTAATGCGAAATAGTTCCACCCTCAAGACTTATTTCTTCCCATCGTGAATTCAGAAAAACGATTACCCATTGGGGCTTTTTCCTGTTAACCTACGATGCATGCAAACTAAGTTGTGACCGTGAGTTATTCTGATGCGAGTGGTCCCCTTGAAAACTTGGTTAATCCCAGCTGACACACTGAACACAATATTTTAACATGGGAAAGAGTTGTCTTTTGTAGTATTCAAAAGTAATTTGAAATGGCACAATTCTGTCTAGTTTATCATCGAGGGCCTAATCTTGAGATCGACACAAAAAATTATCGAGCTAGAACTAATGTTACCTCATCAAAGACACGAGTAGAAGTCATGCCGAAAATTGAAAAATGCTCTAGCCATTACTTTTTTGGCACTACTTTACTTTACTTAGACTTAGACTTACTTTAGACTTATCGTTTACTTCACTCTGTGAAGGTTAATACACACTAGGTTGCAAGTTCAAGTTCCGCATCACCTACTTTGGTTTATATCATCAAGTAGTATCAGTAATAGTCCCTCGTACATAAACTGTGCTATTCAAAACTGATTACATAATAATGTACTTGTCTGTTTTTATGAATTGCACTATCGTTCTTTTATTTCAATGTATTTGTTGAAAAGGTTATGAGATATACCCGAATTGCTTTGTTGAGAGTACACATTGATTTATTAACTTATTATTGCTAACTTTATTCTAACTTTAGCCTAAAAGTCTTATACCATTAGCCCAACTAGTTGTTGTCGGCTATGATTGGGACGCAAATTACGTTGTCATCTATCCAACTGCCAGTCATCAATCATCACAAAATGTCACACCGAATAGTAGAAATCAATCGGACACGACTGGTTTAAATCTTCTCCGATTATTACACGATACCGATGTGGAATCGAAAGCCAACGCTATGGCAGCTAGTAGTAATGATTCCGCATTAGTTCAAATTGTTCTACTCATCACACAGACTGTTGCTGCATCATATCCAATCAGTTCAGCTGGTTCTGCTTCAATGAATTCCAGTCTTAGTGGATTCGGTAGCGCCGGTAGTAGTGGTGGAGCTGGTATAGGAGGAGGAGGAGGAGTAGGAGGAGGCGGACCACAACAAACATTGTATGGTTAATGAGTGAAATTGTAATTTATAGGATGAATTGGAAAATTGTTCCTTTTTTGCAATGAAACTGCGATTTTTCTTTTAAACAAAAGATTTCTTTTCAACCTTTTTCATGTGTACAGTCTCATGTCTTTTTTTTCTGTATGACTTTTATTTTGTATAAATGTATTGTTGTTTTGTATTTGTACGATAATAATAATCATAATCATAATAATAATAGCAATCAGCTGTTGTATTTTTTTTTATAAAAAAAAATATACCTCACTTTGTTTGCTATGGATTTAATAAACGAAATATTGTTCAACTGAACTTGTCTATCGTTATTCCGTTGTGTATTATAATTGAAAAAGACGTCATGGTTGGTTATTCGTTCTGATTTGTTAGTAATCTGACGATTAATCTGAATTTGTGGATAATTGAGGAATGCGCGTCAATGTGAACTAGATAAGTTGATTGACTGACTGTTTGTTACACAACACTTTGGAGAGGGAAATCAAAATTGTAATAAGACAATGGTTTATGTAATAATACATACATATGACTATGAGAAATTATAAAGACAAGAGGAAACTGAGAACAGTGATAACTAATCGTATGTATCAATCACTAAAATATCATTTATTGTTTAAAGGAAATAAAAGAATTTAATATTTTTAATTCATTCTGACGAGAGTGTTATTACAATATCTTAGTACTTTTTTAGAGATTTTCTTATCATTTACATGTGGTTTGTGTTTGAAACAACCATTGGAAACCAAAAATTGTTGAAAAGAATATTTCTTTAATCCTAGTTTACAATCGCTTTGCAACTAACTACTCTCTATACGTAATAGAACTCAAGATATTTGGGTCCCAAGCCAAACAATACAATAGATAGATATTGAATGGTGTAAATTCTCAGCATCCAGTAAATTTGAATGGGGCAACACTCATCTATTGTCATTGATGTGTAACTGTCATGTTCATGATCGATTATAGTCCATTCATCGTTAAAACGTTATCTGGTCACTTATTCGCTACCCATAGATTTCGTGAAGACATATTATTTGAAGCCGGAATAAAGTTGTATGCCAGCTTTTTATTTCAGTCAGTCAGTCAATTACAACCTAGAACTTCGTACGTAAGTACATCAGTTCTGGTTGCCATACTACATTATCACAGAGACGCAATTGTCAGTTCAAATACCATAGAGGTACAGATAGTAGAAGTATTACTGGTAATGGAGAAGATTAGGGTTCCAAGTTATTATTCATGAAGTATAATGTAGTGAGATAAGTTTAGAGGGAAAAAGGTAGAGGGGGTGATGAATTCAGAAGATTATAATTTCATAGAACACAACGAGTGGATGCACCTGCGCCACTGCAAGCGATTTTGTGTCGTGCCGTTCAAAGCTTCTAACCATCGATTACTGTCGTCTCGCTGACCACAACCAGGTTGTCGACACCTACAAACTTGAATCAGTCCACTTGTCAGTGACCTCATAGACTGGTGAAATATTTTGGTTTGGCCGCCCCCAGGTTTCTTCCAACCTACTCCTACACCACAAAACATCACTCGACGAGGCAGTCGGGCATTCGTAACACATGTCCCGACCACCTTGTGGTGGCCAGTTTCAACGTGTTCTCAAGCTTCGCAATTCACTCGTCTAGGCAATCAGCACCAAATAACGCCTGACGGTTATAAATCAGAAGGCATACGAAGTGTCGAATTCGTTTATTTTTAGCACCATAAAGTGGGACAGCGGACCACAAGCAGACAGGGCAGACACACTAGCGGACGAATGAATGAAGCGAATGGGAGAAGGCTAGTGAGCCAACTCCGAGAGATAAAGCATTACTAAGAATTTATAGTCGGACAAAAATAGGACAGACATGTAGTAAGCGAAATCGACATGCACACTCACAAATACAAGCAACGAATGAGTGACAATTGGGACGTCTTGTGAGCTAGACAATGAATGACTCACTACAACCTCAACTGTTGAAGTTTCAATACGCCTGTTTCAACCCAGTAGTACGCATCCGCAACCGAAAATCGTATCTAAGATTGGCTTCAGGCACGAATGCTAAACCTCCAGATCACTGATTCGGAATCTACTGGTGTACAAGTCAAGCTTGAATCAATCCACAATATTGTGCGACAATCTTCCATTGTTTTCAATAGGTTCTTTCCTCACATCCGATACTATTTAGCTCTACTGATCACAACATCTCACTAGGACTCCATGAATTTTCTTCTTCGAGCACATGATATCTGTCAATAAGGGTTTGGGGTAATACTAAGCTGTCCAGAGATTGAATATTAGAATGCTAGATCGAAGATGCGTCATTCAATTCACGCTTACTGAGTCAGTTGTTCAAAGTATACAAGAATCTTATTTATGAGTTTTTTTTTCTGTTTGACCAGCAAGAATGCAGAATATCATCGTTTTATTTGTGACGAGAAAAGTTGTACATGCATTTTGTGTTGAGAATTGTAATGAGAATTTCAACAGGACAAACTATCGAATTTTGAGTATTGTGTGTTTATCTTTCAGTAACTCAAATATTTTACTAAATTTATTCCGGTAGTATCAATGGATGAAACTCCAGGCCAATAGTATCACATGGTAAAAAGTATGTAGTACGTGTACTAATATGTTGAGCTACAGTCTTTTAAGCAGACTTTGGACAAATTAATTCAATTTTTCTCAAGCTGTTCCTATGCCTTTCCACCTTGACAATCATTCATTCATAAGTTTGACTGTTCTTATTTGTGTGAGCATGTGCATTGCTTACTTATCTTGACATATGTATGTTCTATTTTTATTTGACTGTAAATACTTAGTTAGGACGACATGGACTGGTAGAGAGGAATGAAAACGATAAGATATTCTCAAATCTGTGTGCCTTCAACAAACTGTTCGTAGGTGGCAGTATATTGCCTCATAAACTCATACACAAAACCACATGGATTTCACAGGATCACCCCACATAGAACCAAACTGACCATATCTGCATCGATAAAAATTTCAGGACTATGGAGGACGTGCGAACCAAGAGAGGAGCTGAATACATAGAAGCAAACAAGGAAGTGAAAACCAAAATTCAGAGCCAGAAAACGAAAATATGTGGAAGATCTAGCAATGATGGCGGAAAAGGCTGCAAGGGAAATAAACTTAAGACAGTTGCATGATACAACAGAGAAGCTCGCTGGAAACTATCGTAAACCAGAACAAACAGTGAAAAGCAAGGATGGCAAAGGCATCAGCAACATTGAAGAGCAGTGAAACAGGTGGGCAGAGCACCTAACGCAACTATTGAATCGACCAGCTCCACTGAACACACCCAACATTGAAGCAGCATCACAGATCTCCCAATAAATATTGGCGCACCTACAATTGAAGAGATCAGTATGGCCATCAGACAAATCAAGAGCGGCATATCAGCAGGATCAGACAACATCCAGCAGAGCCAATGAATGCAGACGTGGAAGCAACTGCAAAAATATTTCAAATTCTCTTCAACGAGATTTGGGATGAAGAAAAGTACCATCAGACTGTAAAGAGAGATACCTGATCAAAATAGCAAAGAAATGCGATCTCATCAAGTATGAGAACTACACAGGCATCACTCTTCTCTCAAAAGCAGGCAAAATCTTCAACAGAGTATTGTTAAACACAGGTAAGGTTGCTTACCCTTACATTTTCTCTTTCTCCTGGTGATCGACTGGATTATGAAAATGTCAAAATCTGGAGGATAGTACGGTATTCAGTGGATAGCTAGGATGTAGCTGGACGGTCCCGACTTCGCAGATGATCCGGATTTTCTAGTGCACACGCAACAACAAATGCAAGGGAAGAGGACCAGTGTAGCAGCAGCCTCTGCAGTAGTAGGTCTCAGTATGCACAAAGCATCACTGATGAGCAAGGTGGATCTGATGCAGATGTGAAGGAGGGGATCAGCAAAGCAAGGTCTGCATTTCCAAAACCGGACAACACCTGCAACTCAAAAGCAACTATCGATCAACACCAAAGTCACAATTTTCAATACGAATGTTAATACAGTTCTACTGTTTGGGACGGAAACTTATTGAACTACCAAAGCCATCATCCAGAAGAAACAAGCATTCATAAGCAGTTGTATACGCAAAATACTTCTGATCCGTTGACCAGTCACCATAAGAAACGACCTACTGTGGGAAAGAACAAACCAGATTTCAGTAGAAAAAAAATCAGGAACAAAGTGGATAGGTCACATACACTGCGAAAAACACCCTACTGCCTCACAATTGAAGTCCTCTCTTGGAACCCTCAAGGCCAGGGGAAAATTCGAAGACTAAAAGCACATTAAGCCAAGAATTAGAGACAAAAATGAGAAGAATGAACAACAGTTAGTTAGAACTAGAAAGGAAGGCCCGGGACAGAGTTGGTTGGAGAATGCTGGTTGGCAGCCTATACTCCATTTCGGGTGACAGAAGTACCTAAGTAATTGAGTAATGAATATCTAGTCTTGCCTCATTTTATTGAGTTGACGCAATCACATTCTCCATTTGGCTCCGCTTCACTTCTAAGTTTTGTATTCTTGTGTTTTTCTGCACGCACAATTGCATGAAATAAATTCATTCTTAAAACTATATTTGGTTTTTTATTACTAACGTCTCTGATACGGGGTTCTCCTTAGTTTGATACAAGGAAACTGAAAGGTTGATTGGTTTCATAGCGTACTCCAGCGTTCGTACAGACTGGAGTCAGATCGTGGTCCACTAGAGTGTTGAGTCCTACTTTGAATATAACGCAGCCACTAAAAGCACCTTTAAAAATGTATTATTGTAACATTGATAAAATCTCCAAATTACAGGCTGTAGCTAATAAAGCAGCAAAACTGAATGAAGTAGGTAGGATTTATTTGAACAGTAAAAATGAAGCGCAATAAGTCCGAGCAA